TATGATTGTGTTTCCGCCTATTTGATTGCTCAAAGCACTCTGAGGATGGGTTTAAGACCCGAAACAGCTGGTCTGTCAGTGCTCTACCAAAGTTACATTTTGCTACCAAGACACTTCCGAACCGCTGCTAGAAAAGACTACTACACAATATATCTGCTATATGACCGCTTGGGAATAGAACCAAAGGATCTCTGATCTTAGTAGTGCCCGAAGCTATTAGCTATGTTGAAAAGACAAAGAGAAACAAGTTCAGAACCCGCTGTTAAGCAAAGAAGGTTGGAACAGAGGCTTCCCTCCTTACCAGTACATGGAAAAAGACCTATATTAAAGGCAGGACTGTCATGGACGGTCAAAGGAAAGGATGAAGGCGCCCAAGGGTCTTTTCTGTTTGACACCGGTTGTACAGGAGCTATCCTCAACCAGAGTTTTGTCAGGAAACATGGAATTCCCTTAGTGCGGCGGGATCAACCTCTGACAATGTTTGATGCTCAAGGAGATGTCATGATGGGAGGAGGCGAGTATTACACTCACCCGGTCCGCATGACTATGGGAGATCATAAAGAGACACTCCGATGGGAGGTGGCTACACTGGAAGAAGGAATGACCGGTTACCTGCCAATTAGTTGGGCTAGGAAGCATAACCCGGACATCAATTGGGAACTCAACACCATGAGCTGGAGGAGTGACTACTGCAAGCAGAATTGTCTCCCAGCGGCCACCAAGATTGAACTGATCTCTCCATACCAAATGTTGGAAGAAGAAGAGACAGTCTATCAATTGGTTGGTTCAGTATGGCACGATGAGGACGGAGGTGATATTGCTGAGAAAATACACCACCTATACCGGGATTGGGCTGATGTGTTCAGTCAAGAGAAGATTGAGGAAATGCCGCCGCATTCCCATAATGATCTGAAGATCAAACTCTTGCCTGGGACCGCTCCCCCATTTGGCCCGCTATACCCATGCTCCGCTCCAGAGTTGAAGGCCCTCCGAGAGTACCTGGACAAAGAGTTGTCTTCAGGAAAGATCTCTAGATCGAATAGCCCTGCTGCGGCGCCCATACTGTTCATTCCTAAGAAGGATGGGACATTGCGGATTTGTGTGGACTACAGAGGATTGAACAAGGTCACTGTCAAGGACAAGTACCCGCTGCCTATCATGAGTGAGCTCAGAGACAGGTTGTTCAATGCCAAGATCTTCACAAAGATAGACCTGAAGAATGGCTTCAATTTGATCAGGATAGCCGAAGGTGATGAGTGGAAAACCGCTTTCAGAACCCGCTATGGACTGTATCAGTATAATGTGATGCCATTTGGCCTATGCAATGCTCCCTCCGCTTTCCAGGCAATGATCAATGATGTGCTAAAGGAACTACTGGATGAAGGAGTAGTTGTCTATATCGATGACATCCTCATCTACTCGGAGACTGAGAAAGAGCATGAGCTATTGGTCAAGAAGGTACTACAGAAGCTTAGGGAAGCTAAGCTCTGTGCCTCGATCAATAAGACATCCTTCCATGTCCGAGAAGTAGAATACCTAGGCTATCATATCTCGGAACAAGGAGTATCTATGTCAGAAGACAAGGTGGAGGCAGTTAAGGAATGGCCGGTCCCTGAGAATATCAAGGCAGTACAGGCATTCCTCGGATTTGCAAACTTCTATCGCCGCTTTATTGAAGGCTTCAGTAAGGTTTGCAAACCACTAACTGACCTCCTGCAAAAAGACAAGAAATGGTATTGGACAGCAGCACATGAGCAGGCCTTTGAAGAACTCAAGAGGCTGTTCACAAGCGCTCCAATCCTTCTTCACTTTGACCCTAGTAGGAGAACGGTGGTCGAGACAGATGCCAGTGATTTTGCCAAGGGAGCAGTGCTCTCTCAGTATGGGGACGATGGAAAGCTACATCCGGTGGCATTCTATTCTAAGAAGTTCTCCCCTGCTGAGATCAACTATGACATTCATGATAAGGAAATGGGAGCTATTGTAGCCTCTTTCCGGGAATGGGAACACATGCTCAAATCTTGTGAGCAAGAGATCACGGTTTTTACAGACCACAAGAATTTGGAGTACTTTAACTCTACCAAAGTTCTCACTAGGCGGCAAGCTAGATGGTCTGAAGATCTCGCAGGCTACAATTTTAAAGTTGTCTACAGACCGGGAGAAAAGAATGGCAAGACTGATGTGCTATCTAGGCGCTGGGATCACCGCCTTGGAGAGGGAGGTGAAACTCTGCAGCCGGAGCCACAGATCTTTTTTAGGCCAGGTCAATTGGTTTTGGATCCTGCAAAGCTAGCGGCTGTCAGGGTGAATCAATTGCAGAATACATTCTTAGAGCACCTATACACGGCTGCTAAAGAGGATAGTTTCTGGCAGGAATTGCACCGCTCTCTGGTTGAAAGGAAACCAAATTTGGACCAGAACTTGTCGGTCAAGAACGGTCTCATCTTCTACAAAAATAGATGGTATATACCCAAGGATAAGAAGCTTCAGATGGAAATACTGTCCGATACCCATGACTCTAAGGTGGCTGGTCATTTTGGCCAATTTAAGACACTAGAGCGGGTGAAAAACAACTTCTTTTGGCCCAACATGGATAAGGATGTTGAGGAATATGTCCGGAGCTGTGACAGCTGCCAGAGGAATAAGACCTCAAGACACAAGAAGTTTGGTATGCTCCAACCGTTGGAGATACCCTATCGGCCATGGACTTCCATCTCTATGGACTTCATTGTGGGATTACCGGAATCTAGTGGGTTTACAAAGATCTGGGTAATAGTGGACCGTTTTTCGAAGATGGCACACTACATCCCTCTTCCTACCCTCAATAAGACGGAAGATTTGGCTAAGTTGTTCTTGAAGGAAGTTTGGAGACTCCATGGTTTACCTGATGACATAGTCTCGGACAGAGATAGCAGGTTCATCTCTCACTTTTGGCAATCTCTCATGAATCTCCTCAATGTGAAGCTGAAGATGTCCACATCTTTCCACCCCCAAACGGACGGTCAAACAGAAAGAGTTAACCAGACCCTGGAACATTACTTGCGGAGTTATTGTTCATATCAACAGGATGACTGGGCAGAACTCTTGCCTTTGGCAGAGTATGCATATAACTCGGCGGTCTCTGAGTCTACCAAAGTATCGGCTTTCTATGCCAACTATGGATATGAACCCAGGACCAACTGGCCGGCCCCAAAGGAAGGAGTAGAATGGAACAATCCAGCGAGCGAGGTCATGATATCTCAATGGGAATCTATCTGGCAGGCTATGAACGCCAGCTTGGGTAAAGCTAGATTAAGGATGGCCCGGTGGTATGATGCTCATGCCCTGGCACCGCCTGAAATCAAGCCCGGAGATGAAGTAATGTTGGACCGGCGCAATGTGCAAACAAAGCGGCCTTTGGGAAAATTGGATCAGAAGAAGATGGGACCTTTTAAGGTCTTAGAAGCTATTGGTACCCGTGCCTACAAGCTCTCTCTTCCCCCTCAAATGGGAATCCACCCGGTCTTTCATGTCTCTCTTCTGGAACCTTACCGAGCACCGGTAGATCCTGAGAGAAGAGTTCCACCACCGGAACCCGAGGAGATTGAAGGAGAACAGAACTGGGTTGTCCGAGAGGTAGCTGATAGCCGGGTCAATAAGAAAAGGAGACGAGTGGAATACCTAGTGCTGTGGGAAGGTTATGAAAACGAGGATGCTACATGGGAACCTTGGGAGCATCTCAAGAAGAGTGCTGAAAAAGCCCTTCGGGATTTCCATATGAGGTATCCTAAGAAACCCAAGGACAAGCGGATTGTTGGGGTGTAGATTATTCCCTCTTGGGTTTTCATTTCCTTGCATATCATGGAGTTTCTTGTCATATAGAATGAATGGTAATAGAATGGTTATAGATCTCGGAGACCAAGATCCTGGAAGAGGGGAGTGGTGTAACGGAGCCATTTCAACTGTCTGGTGTATGAGTACACACAGGGCCCGGTTACATGCTGAGAGTTATTGTTAGAAGCCAGTTGCACGGTGATATGCAAGTACCGGCAGTGTGGTTAGCTACCAGCTGTTAGAGTAACTACATTCCGGGCGCTAGGAAGGGGATCTATTCATGGGAGCAATGACTGACGAGTCTATGCCTCGCCAGTGTCTAGAAGATCGGCCAGAGTGAAGCTCTGATTGTCCGGTGATCCACTGTATCCTCGGAGCATTGTAAGTCCGCCGAAGGGCAGGGACTATGCTAGGGAAGTCTACAATAAGCGGAAACTCTACAGCAATGATTAAGCTTACACCTGAGCGGCAGCTCATCCATGCAGGTCCTCGGTTGTGTGGCAACCAAGGCTGCAGGTGTCATAAAGGCTTTGACTAAGGGTGGTTGCCTTGGGTATCGGAAACACCTGCTGACGCTTAGAGAAAAGCGGGGTAGCGGTGGTATTGTTTTCCGGTACTGAGGGAAGGCCCACCGGAACTTAGTAAAGGAGTTAGGAGCAGAGGACAGAGGCCTTTGGAGTATAAGTACTCAGGCTCATTCTCGCCCTTCAGTCCTGTTCTCTCCAGTCTTCATCGAAAAGAAAAACCAAGTTCTTATCGGTAGCAGAGCCCTTAAAGATTATTGAGTTCTAGCGATAGTATCTTTGAATAATCTGCAACCTGATTGTCTATCTTGCACGGCCGTCCCTATTCTATACAAATCTATTTCTCTTAGAAAGGACCCCCGTTACAGTACTCTAGTTCTTTTGACAAGAGGCACATTGAAATCAGCAGCAGAAGACAGAAGGATACTGGACAGTGGGTGTTGAGGGAACCAGTGGTTCAGGAATGGTACGGGGGGAATCCGCAAAATCGACTCCTTTGGGCCTACGGTATTCGTACGTATTAGATTACCTATCAATTCCATATATATAATCTAAATACTAATGAGACGAATTCTATTTGCTTAGCTGGCGCTGGAAAAACATTTATCAGGTGCGTTTATCTGCCACAGTTGATTAATGTGTATATATATACATAGTTTAATTATGCCCTCTGGCCATGACTTTATCCTAAAGTATCCAGCTAACTTCTGCACGCTTCCAGCTCTCTTTTGATTGATTATCTTCAAGACCAGGCAGCAAAGGTAAACGTTAACCATGGGGTAGCCTATATTTATTTCAATTATCAGGAACAAGACCAGCAAGAACCAAGAGCTTTCCTTGCAAGCCTTGTAAAGCAGCTCGCCTGCCGGTTGGAGAGTCTACCCAAGGAAATCGAAGAATTGTACGAAAGACTGGAAAAGAGGCACGGAAGACCAACCATCGAAGATTTATCCGCAATTCTCTTTAAGTTATCAAAATCCTTTACGCGGACCTTTATTATATGCGACGCCTTGGACGAATGCGATCCGGAGAAGCAACGCAAAAGACTCTTGCCATTATTCCACCAAATGGCAAAGAATGATATATATGTCTTTCTTACCAGTCGAGAATACCCTGAAGATATCCAGGTATCACTCCAAAGTTCTGCTAGCGCAAGGATCAGGCTCTGGGCAAAGGAAGAAGACATCACCTTCTATATCAAACAAAAGATAGAAGATAGCCCTAGAGCTAAACGTCTTGTTGAACAAGGTAACTGCCAAGATGAAATCATCTTGCAGCTACAGAAGTGTGCCAATGGGATGTAAGTACAAACCCCGCAAAACAGCTAGGAGGGAGTGGCCAGAGGGGGTGCTATGGCAGGGAATTGGAATGAAGCGTCTTGGGGCCCCCTATTCCACAATTACCAAAATCCTCAAACTGCCCAAGTCAACCCTTGCCAATGCCATGGCAAGGTATGAGAAGACTGGTCAGGTTAAATCCACACACAGGCATGAGAGACCCAAAATCACTACTGTTAGAGATGATAGACAGCTTCTCATCTGCAGTAGACGTGAGAGGACAATCACATATGAGCAACTCCGCCAGGAATTCGCAGTGCAAATTTCAGCTAGCACAATCAAGAGGAGGCTAGCTACATTTGGTGTCCACAAGCACATCATGGCTGAGAGACCCAAGCTGACCCCATATGATGCAAGAAGAAGGCTACGGTGGTGCATTGCATACAGACATTGGGATATCAGAAGGTGGAGGAGGGTGGTGTGGAGTGATGAGTGCAGTGTTGAGAAATATGCAGATCCATATGTCTCTTGGGCATTCAGAACTGCAAAGGAAAAATGGCTTCCCGAGTGTGTTAAAGGTGTTAGGAAGTCAGGAGGGGTGTCAAAGATGATGTGGGCATGCTTTGCCGGGGAATTGAAGGGGACCTGTAATGGGGGTATGGTGGGTGAAGGGGGGAGGACAAATGCAGAGGCATATGTCAGGACTCTTGAGTTCTGTCTCCTGGATTTTTTGGCAGAGCTACAGGAGAAGGGTATCAGACCAATCTTCATGCATGACAACGCTAGGGTACATACCGCCGACCTTACAACTCAATGGTTGGAGCAGCATGGGGTTGAAGTTCTTGAGGACTGGCCTGCCTATTCACCTGATTTGAACCTCATTGAGCATGTTTGGGTACACCTCAAGAGACTCTACCATCAGCATTACCCCCATTTAGTATATGATACTAGATCACCTCAAGTAATTAAGCCCCTCATGGAGGAAGCTCTTATTCATTGCTGGGAACTGTTACCTGATGAGTTATTTGGTAGGCTGGTTGAAAGTATGCCTAGGAGAATTGAGGCTGTTATAAAGGCAAAGGGTTGGTACACAAGATATTAAATGTCAAATTATTTTTATTTATCTACTATTTAACAACTATAAAAAAAACCGGCTCTCCAAGGGATCAATTGGGGTTGCTGTGGTGGTAGTCGTGATGGCGCGGGTGATGGTTCGGGCGGGTCGAAGCCGTTGCGATGCCGCCCCTGACCGTCACGGCTGGCCTACAACTATACATACATACATGATATGAAGGCCGGCATGGCCGAACATATCCGCCGCATTCAAGTTGTCTGATTTATTATTATTATAAACTACATAACTGATCCATGAGTCTAGGTTTTTACTTGTGCATTTTCACATCGAATATTTATGCCGGCAGACCACCGTCAAACAGATATTAGAAGAGCTTTACAGGCTTGAAAACTCTGCTAGAGAAGATCACCCCATGGACCCCACGTATAACAACGCACTTGATGCTCTTCGGGCGCAACCCAAGGGCTGTAGAGAACTGGCCTTCAAGGTCCTCACATGGCTTGTCCGGGCTCGACGGATTCTCACAGTCCGCGAACTCCAATTGGCCGTGTCTGTATCAATGAGCGGGGATTGTACCACCTTTGACAATTCCGCTTTACCGGATAGAAATATATTACTTGATGTTTGTGCCAGCTTGGTAATGGTTGATGAAAAGGAGGATACCATTCGGCTTGTCCATTACACTGTTCAAGAATATCTTCTCAGAAACGCCATAATATCCAATGACATAGACTCAAACTCCATGATCACGACTGCCTGTATTACGTTCCTCTCACTTGACATATTTCTTCAGGGCCCGTGTACCTCAGATAAGTCTCTGCAGGATCGATGGAACTTATACCCGTTTTTAGACTACGCCGCAAAACAGTTATCTTCCCACCTCGGAGGATGTAATGAGGCATTATCAACTGGGCCTATTTCGCGGTTTCTCAGCGAGAAAGGCAATATAGCATCTTATGTTCAAGCACTTTCTGTTCAAAGAGGGCCCGGGAGGGAGGGAGCCTATGGTATTTATCCCAAAGGACAGGAGGCGTTACATGTAGCTGCAGCTCTTGGGCATAACTCAGCTACTCGAATGCTTCTTGAGAGCGGTGCCAATGTCTCGGCAACAGACGATTTCGGACGGACACCACTGCCCTGGGCAGCCTTCGGGGGACACGAACAAATTATTAAATTGTTGATTGAGAAAGGTGCAGACGTCTCTACCAGAGACAAAGTTGGAATCACGGCATTTGAAAGGGCAGAAAGGAAAGGGCATAGATCAGTGACTAGGCTGCTAGAAAATCCAAAGAAACCTCCGGGCCTGATGGAGCGCTTAAGGAAGACTGTGGAGTTAGGGTGTTTAGAAGAGGTAGAATTACTCCTTGAAGCTGAAGGAGGCATCGACAGATGGTGCATGCGCAAGATGCTCCACATTGCGGCAGAATTTGGACATGAACCAGTGGTCCGGCTACTGCTCGAGAAAGGCGCCGATATCTCCTCTACAGATAATACTGGACGGAATGCACTCCACATTTCAGCATCAAGAGGACATGAACCAGTGGTCCGGCAACTGCTCGAGAAAGGTGCTGATATCTCCTCTTCAAATAAGGACGGATTGAATGCACTCCACCGTGCAGCAGAACTTGGACATGAAAAAGTGGTCCGGCTACTGCTCGAGAAAGGTGCCGATATCTCCTCTTCAAATAAGGACGGATGGAATGCACTCCACCTTGCAGCAGGGTATGGACATGAACTAGTGGTCCGGCTACTGCTCGGGGGAGGTGCCGATATCTCCTCTACAGATAATACTGGATGGAATGCACTCCACATTTCAGCATCAAGAGGACATGAACTAGTGGTCCGGCTACTGCTCGAGAAAGGTGCTGATATCTCTACAGGTAATGATGGACGGAATGCACTCCACCTTGCAGTATCAAATGGAAATGAACCAGTGGTCCGGCAACTGCTCGAGAAAGGTGCTGATATCTCCTCTTCAAATAAGGACGGATTGAATGCACTCCACCGTGCAGCAGAACTTGGACATGAAAAAGTGGTCCGGCTACTGCTCGAGAAAGGTGCCGATATCTCCTCTTCAAATAAGGACGGATGGAATGCACTCCACCTTGCAGCAGGGTATGGACATGAACTAGTGGTCCGGCTACTGCTCGGGGGAGGTGCCGATATCTCCTCTACAGATAATACTGGATGGAATGCACTCCACATTTCAGCATCAAGAGGACATGAACTAGTGGTCCGGCTACTGCTCGAGAAAGGTGCTGATATCTCTACAGGTAATGATGGACGGAATGCACTCCACCTTGCAGTATCAAATGGAAATGAGCCAGTGATCCGGCTCCTGCTCGAGAAAGGTGCCGATATCTCCTCTTCAAATAGTGAGGGATGGAATGCACTCCACCGTGCAGTAGAACTTGGACATGAACAAGTGGTCCGGCTACTGCTCGAGAAAGGTGCTGATATCTCCTCTTCAAATAAGGACGGATGGAATGCACTCCACCGTGCAGTAGAACTTGGAGATGAAAAAGTGGTCCGGCTACTGCTCGAGAAAGGTGCCGATATCTCCTCTTCAAATAGTGACGGATGGAATGCACTCCACCTTGCAGCAGAACTTGGACATGAACAAGTGGTCCGGCTCCTACTCGAGAAAGGTGCTGATATCTCCTCTTCAAATAAGGACGGATGGAATGCACTCCACCTTGCAGCAGAATATAGACATGAGCCAGTGGTCCGGCTCCTGCTCGAGAAAGGTGCTGATATCTCCTCTTCAAATAAGGACGGATGGAATGCACTCCACCTTGCAGCAGAATATGGACATGAGCCAGTGGTCCGGCTCCTGCTCGAGAAAGGCGCCGATATCTCCCCTGTAACTCACAGAGGATCCAAGGCAGACAAACTTGCAGCGTCGAATGGGTTTGAATCAATAGCTCAGCTACTGCGCGAAAAAAATGCGAGGGGAACGGGCGAGGCAATAGCGGCGAAGGATATCACGCATACATCATAGGGTCTGGTGAGTAATAAACAGTGGGCCTCTATATATCTAGCCCTGCTACTCAGTTGAATCGTCCCTCGCTGACGGTTTACCTCTTGTAGAAATACTGGAGCTTAGACACATATGCGCGTTGATTTCGAAGTCGGTTACGGCTGTGTGTCGGATTTACGATCTTCTCTTCGAGGGGGGGGGGGGCTTATTTGTAGGCTGGTAACAACATGTAGCGGTCGATGAAGGACAACAATGACAGTCGGTGGATTGAAGGAGCGGGTACTTGGGTACATGTAGTCGAGGGAGAGGGCATGTGGTCTGTTGTAGCATGTAGTGGGGCGATATCGGTGTTTGTTATGGATTTCTTACATAGTTAACTAGAATGCTCTGTTCTTTGCAATGAATTATGTCTTACCAGTTTATCTATACTGAAACTACTTCGTAACATATGCATAAAGCTAACCAGCAGGCAACGGATCAAGATGTACATGTAGTTCCTACACGTATCCGCCTCTAGCGTAACGCCCATTGCAATGGGATCTGTAGCTATGTAGACACATGTACGTAGTAGTAGCTAGTGCGTGGTACCGGTGTTGCTCGCCCGCGGATGCCAAGACCGAGTGATCATTCATGATTATCACTCCTTGTTGGCGAGCTCTAGCTAGGTGCGTTCTCGGCACAGGTACACTGCACTACGTACGTTGGATAAGTGTTGATTGAGTCTAGTTATCATTATGGATAAGGATATTCATACAATAAGAGTAACAATGCCTTGCCCCTCCCTGTCTAAAGAAAGAAAGAAATAAAGGAAAAAAAACAAGAGGAAGAAGAAGAAGGATATAAAACGAAATAGTGAAAGAATAGTACTAGTAAAGGATAATAATAGTAAAAAAAAAAAAAAAAAAAATAGTACTAAAAAAAAAAATACTAAAAACCCTCCCTCACCAACTAACTAACTAACCAACCAGCCAAACAAACAACAAAAGCGAAACACCCACTACACCCCCTCCTCCCTCCCCACCCACAATCCCTCCGCCCCCGCCCACGCCAGCACCTCCCCCGCACTCCCCACCTCCCCACCCCCAAACCTCCTCTTCCGCGGGTCAATCCCCGCCACGATCCTCTCGACCGCCTCAAACGCCCCCTTCTCCCCGTCCCCGGCGATCCTGCGCCCGCGCGGCAGCCCCTTGCGCCGCAGCAGCACGCACGCAAGATAGTGCAGCCAGAACACGTTGGTGCGCGGCGCGTACACGTCCCAGTTGATGTCCTCCTCGTCCGGCGGGACGAGCCCCGACGAGAGGTGCGTCCGCATGAAGCGGTAGATGTCGAATTGGTAGTCGCCTTTGCCGCTGAAGAGGGCGGGGTCGTCGAGCGGGGCGAAGTGGGCTCGTGGTGTGGTGGTGGAGGTGCTGGGGAGCGGGGGGCAGAGGGCCCGCGAGAGGGTGTAGTCGATTAGGGAGACTTTGAGCCCCGTGGGGCGGCGCTGGATCACGATGTTGCCGTAGTGAAGATCACGATGCTATCCCACATTAGTTCCCCATCCATAACAGCAGACAACAGACAGCATATATCAGTAGGCGGGACAAAACAACATACCTCAAACTCGCACCCCTCCCCCCCCGCCAGCGCCTCCGCCACCTGCCAAAACACATCCAGCGCCTCCCGCCACCCCTTCAACTCAAAATGCTCCAGATCCACGCCCCCCATCTCCAGCCCCACCACGGCCCACCACTGGCCCTCGCCGTAGAACTCGGGCCGCTCATTCTCGCTGCCGCGCAGCTCCTCATACTCGTCCCAGCAGCGCATCAGCGCCTCGGGGAAGTACCCGCGGCACACGTGCGCGCCGTGGAAGCCGATGAAGCCCCTGTGCGAGGCCATGGTGCGCGTGATGCTGACTTCTTGCAGGATGGATGTGAGCGTGCATTGGTCGGCGGCGGCGAAGGGGATGATTTTTAGGACGGTGGTGCGGGAGGAGGGGGAGGAGGGGGTGAGGGGCGTGGAGAGGAAGACTTCGCTGTAGGAGGCTTCGCCGAGCTTGGTGATTGTGTGGGTTGTCTGCAGGGCGGTGATGTAGTCCGTGAAGTCCAGGACCGTGGGCGTCGTGCAGAGGCTCAACAGCTCTTCGATCGCCGCATCGTCAACGTAGTACTCGACCTCATCCTCTTCATACTCCCTTTCCCCCTCCTGCTCCTCCTCCTCCGCATCGAGCTCCGTCAGCTCCGACGTATCGCTCCCCGCACACCCCCTCTCCACCTCCTCCACCTGCACCCCGCCCTTCATCCCCCCGAGCTCCAAAACCTCCTCCAGCCCAATCGTAACCCGCCGCATCTTCTCCAGCATCTCCCTCTCGTCTCCCCGCTCCTTGCCATCCTCCCACACCTTGATGTCCACCCCCACCCCCGAGCCGGGCCGCTCGCGCACAAGCGGGCTCACAACCGACGCCCGCTTCTTCCGCACCCCGTTCTTTCTTGCCGGCGACTCGATCGGCGTTATAGCCCGCTCTTTCAGCGCCTCCCGCGGCGACCCCGGCACACCGGTCGGCGTGCGTGTACGGCGGGCAGGTGGATGGGAGCCGGGGGAGGAGGCGGTGGAGGCGGGGAGGTCGTTCTCTTTATCGGATGTCTCTGGCGCGCTGGGCGTCGTGGCGGGCGTCAGGGTGGGCGTGGGCGTGAGCAAGGCGAGGATGTTGGCTTCGAGCTCTTCGTACTCGGGCGTGCCGGGGATGTCGACGAGGTCGTCTTCGGAGTCGTCGTCTTCGGAGTCGGAGTCGGAGTCGGAGCGGGCGAGGCTGGGCTTGGGACGCCGCCGGGTGCTGTGCGGGGAGGTTACGGTGACGGCGATGCCGGGGGCGGAGTAGGTGTCGCTGTAGGTGTCGGACTCGGACTCGGAGTCGGAGTCGGGGGATGCGGCGGCGGTGGTGGTGCCGTTGGTGGCGGTGTTTGTTCGGTTTCTGACGGCGGGAGCAGTGGCTTTTCCATTGCCGTTGCCATTGAGATTGCCATTCTTCCCACTACTCCCACGCCCGCTGTGTTTCTCCTCTTCATCGTCTTCCTCATCCTCATCCTTCCCTCTACCACCCACTTGGTCCTCGTCATCATCTGAATCTGAATCTGAATCCAAATCCAACACCGCCGGCCTTCCCTTTCCACCACTGCCCCCATTCACACTACCACTTCTCCCACCGTTCCCACTACTAGCACTAGCACTACCACTACCGCTCCCTCCCGCAGCCCCGGCAGTAGCAGTAGTATTAGCAGCAGTAGGAGCTGTAGAAGCAGCAGTCGCAGCAGGCACAGCAGCGTTCCACAGGTCCCTCGCGAACCACCCCGAGACGTGCGCCGTGACCTTCTTGCCGTATGTTTTCTTTGGCTTGCCCGACATTGCTTTCTGCTTGCTGTGTGTGTATGCTATCTTTATTGTTTCTGTTGATTGTGGATGTGTGAATAATTGCAGCAGTGTTGTGGTGGTGGGGTGAGGATCGGGGTTGTGTGCAGTTCTGCTCCAGGGATGGATGGATGGGTGGGAACCGTGGGGTAAACAGACAGCCAGACAGACAGGGGTTTGTTTGCTGCACAGGACAGGGGTTGGTGGTGGTGGTGGTTGCCGGGGCGACGGCGGGTTAGGGTTGCTGTGTGTGGAGAAGAAGGGTGCGGGAAAGAAGGGTGCGGGAAAGAAGGGTGCGGGATAGGGGCGAGGACGGGAGTGGCGATAGACAGATAGGGGCAATGATTAGAGCGTGGCTAACTGGAAGTAACTAATAGTAACAGTAACAGTAATACAGCAATAGTAACGGTAATACAGCAATGGTAACGGTAATAGTAGCGGTAATAGCAGTAGCCAGAAGGGTGCCCACTTGGCATGCACCCCCCCCCCCCCAAGCGTTCCCGACGGCACCGCCGCACCACCGCTGCTGTTTTCCAGAAGCCTTCCTTTCTGGATCTCTATGTACTCGCAATTTCACAGCGTTTCCGGACGCAACTGCTATTGCATACACAGAAAAAACCCGCCAAGGCTATCTTTTGTATGGCATGCAATAGTGGTCGCGTCCGGAAACGTCAAAAAACTACGAGTAGACTGTGTGACTGCCTATCTGCTCTATTGCTGTAGCTACGTATATTCTGTCTATCTATGTATCTCTCTGTCTACAACAACTACTATATTCCCCCCTTGCTCCCGCTGCAGGGAAACAGCCAGGCAGGTCTCGTGCTACACACCGTACCCGAGACAAGCCCACGGCCAAACCCCATCCGAGCCCTTCCCCGTGGCGCAGGATCGATCCCCAGCCAGCTCTCCATCCACACACACAAGCACATGGAGGTGTAGAGTATATATACTAGATAACCCCCCCCCCCCCCCACAACCACCACCGCTGCGAGCCCCTTCCCCGCATAGCTACTACTTGGCTACATACCCCCGATATTACTCAACTCCGCCATGGACCGCATCAGAAAATGGTTTTCGCAGAGAGAAACACAGGCCTACACGGCCTTGCCCTCGGACCCTGACGCCTCCACGCTCACCCCCGCCGACACCGACGACAGCCTCCCCGGCCCCGTCTCAAAGTTCCAGTACTTTGTCTTCTGCCTCCTCGGATGCGCCATGTAAGCCCCTCTTCCCCTTCACTCCCCCCCCACCCCCAAAACGAAGACCAAAAACTAACACCCCCAGGCTGTGGAGCTGGAACATGTTCATGGCCTGCGCAACGTACTTCCAACGGCGCTTCGACGGCAGCGACTTCCTTCTGACCAACTTCCAGTCGCTGATCCTCGTCTTCTCGACGATGACCAACCTGATAGGGTCCTACTGGCTGTCCAAGCGCCAGGCGACGGCCGACTACCCGCGCCGCATCTGGCTATCGCTTGTGTTCAACTGCGGGCTCACGGCGGTTCTGGCCGCGAGCACGGTGATGTGGGTGGTGGGTCCCGCAAGCTATATCGTTGTCGTGCTGCTTTGCGTGGTGGTGGCGGCGTGGAGCACGGCCTTGTCGCAGAACGGCGTGTTTGCGTTTGTGAATACGTTTGGGGGCGTGTATATGCAGGCTGTTATGACGTGCGTGTTTCCTCCTCTCTAGTTTGAAGGTGGTTTGAAGATCGGTGCTGACTGGATGATATGACAGCGGACAAGCCATCGCCGGGGTCCTCCCCGCAATCGCGCAAATCGTCACCGTCGTCTTAGTCCCCACCAACGACTCCCAAGCCGCCTCCCCCAAGTCCGCATTCCTCTACTTCCTCACCGCCACCTTCATCTCCGCCCTCTCCCTCCTCCTCTTTTTCGCCCTCCTCGCCCGCCACTCCGACACCCCCGCCAAGCTCCCCACCGACACCCCCGCCACAGCACCCCTCGAAGCCCCGACACCCCCGCACAGAAAAGAAGTCGGCCTCTGGACCCTCTTCAAGAAACTCAGATATCTCGCGACCGCTCTGTGGCTAACCTTCTTTGTCACTATGGCTTTCCCGGTCTACACACAAGTCATCGTCTCCGTCCGCCCCCTCACCCCAGATACCCCGCGCCTGTTTACGCCAGACGTGTTCATCCCGCTCTCCTTCCTGATCTGGAACCTAGGCGACCTGTCCGGCCGCATCCTGTGCGGCGTATACCAGTGGCGCGGGCGCGCCGAAGGGCTGGCCCTGTTGGCGCTGGCGAGAATCGTGTTTGTGCCCGCGCTGGCGGCGTGTAATGTGAGGGGCGAGGGCGCATTGGTGGACAGTGATTTGTGGTACTGGTTGGTCCAGTTTGCGTTTGGCGTGTCGAGTGGGTGGATAGGGAGCTGTGCGATGATCAGGGCGCCGGAGGTGGTGGAGAAGGAGGAGAGAGAGGCGGTGGGTGGCTTTATGGGGCTGTGTTTGGTGGTGGGGTTGGCGGCGGGGAGTGCGGCGAGTTTTTGGCTGGGGGCGTAGTGTAGCAGTGTAATAGTGCGGGGGCGGGTTTTAGATTGTGGGTTTGGCCTGTGGGTTTGCTTTTGTATGGGTACTTTTCTTTTGTCTGTGTGTTTTGTGTCTGTGTATTTCTTTTTTCTTTTGTCTGTACTTTTTGTTTCTGGTAGCATTACTGTGTTAGTATTCTTATTCTTAGATCCAATCCTTTTTTTATAGCCTAGCTAGCTAGTTAGCATAGATAGAAATGGGAAACGTATGCATAGCTATTTTATTGGCCCTTCTGGGTTCTTTGTAGACTTTGAGAGAAGTGGAAACCTTACCTACTTTCTTCGATGATATTCGCTTGTGGTGAACCTCTACCTATTCACACACCATCACTCGGCTCCTCGGCACCTCATCCGCCGACCATCAGCGCCCTAGCTATCACAGTAGTCACCATATCAGTAGATAGATCCGTCGACCCACTCGCATCAAGCACAAGCATAGGCATGAAATACCGGTTTCAAAGTCAGCAATAGCTTATGTGATGTACACAGGCTCAATTAAACTAAGATCTAGTACGCACCAGCGAAAGAGAGATACCGCAGCTCAACTTATAGGCCATAAAACGAACACCTAGGCATCCCTGCATATGTAGCTGTTTACAGCCATGTAGTGCAGGCCGTGTGTTCAATAGCTATGGCGGGAATAGTTATTGGATGAAAAGGGAGATCTAGATTTCCTGCCTTTATATAACATCATTGAGGACAGATTGCCACGCCACCTATTTCTTGCCATAAGTCCAGTTATAGTATATGCAGCGAATAGTCACGTATGCCCTATTGCCTCTTGACCTGTTATTAGAGCCCCATTGTTTACAGATAGCTGGCTATGTATATGTCCTTAACCGACCTTCACGTGTCTACTTGAAACCCCCGCAACGTGTTTTAACACTCACATGTCTCGCGATGTCCGTGTGTATGTACATGTATGTATGTGTCTCGCCACTCCATAGCATGTTCTTACTGTGGCGGGGCCACTATGGGGGCTGTGAGGGGCTGGTTGTGGTTTGCGGGATCCGGGAGTAGGGCGTCATAGGGTGTCACTCGCGTGATGAGTGGGTGCGATGAGTCATGGGATGTCACTCGGTGTTGTTTTTGCGTGGAGAACCCCGCCCCGGGGGGGGGGGGGTGGGGGTGGCTACTTGACTGGCTAGTACATACATGTATATCCGGACACAAACATGGATTGCCAACCCCTAGCCTTGGTGTCTATCTACTACAACGTTGCGATCAAAGTTACATCTAAAATTTAAAACTCATCTTGGCACAGGTTCTGATTGCTACAAAGTTGGATATTTCCACTTACCTATTTTTCGAAACACCGTCGGGCTGTTTCCGTGCGGGAATACCCGGTTGGGAGCAATACTACCTCGTCTTTCCAGACACTCCAATTTAAAAAGGATTGAATTGGGTACATGGGCTCATTCGCTGATTTTCTTGTTTTACTTTCTTTTTGGGTTGGCGAAGCTATGGTTGAGGCGGTTGACGGTTTGGGGGGGGGGGGGGGGGTTTCTTTGGTTTCGTAGGCTTTTTGGGGTTTTTGTATATAGAAAAATAAACATTTTTGATTAACTGGTTTTGTTTTGTTATTGGGCTAGCTAGTCGATGCAGAGATAACGCAGAGTCTATAAACTAGGTGAGTGCGATATCAATACATATACTGCAGGGCGGTCACTAGATTAGTAGTTAAGGTTTGTTGGTATGGGTGGTATTTAGGGGGCTGGGGGGTCTGTGTATCGGCGGTCGTGCAGCCAGGAGGTTTGAGCCGTTTATTCCGCTTTAGTGTGTGCCTGATACATGTATGTAGGGCGAGGGTTCGTTGAGGCTGCGTACGTGTGTGGACCTGCTATGGATTGTAACCCATCCGGTCTTTAGCTTGGTTCTCTTTTGTCGACGTCAGCCTGGGGCCGCGTATTTAAACTTTACGCCAGAAAGTCTATCGTATGCCCTGAAATTTACTAAAATAACCACAGTAAGCACTGGGTAGGATAGCCAAGTGGTATCGGGTCATTGTCTTGATCCTCATTGAGTCTTAATTGCGCGCGTTCAACCCATGTCCGAGGACAAAGATTACCAGCCTGAAACCCCGCCGCAGGGGATGAGGGGTGGGAACTTTTTGCCTTCGTTTTCCCCCACCCTACTAACACTTGCGTCTGCTTCGTCTTCATCATTTTATCGTTTCCCCTTCATCTATCAACTAACTCACTCGTCTATTATATAACTCCGGCTGACCTTTGCTTACGCTCTATTCTTTCACTCCTAGGTTTCCTCTTTGTGTCGTATCAGGCAAAAAGCATCGCAATATTCGAATTTTTCACTACACGGTGGTCAAAAGCTTCAGAATCTACTTATGACGCCGCTAGAGTTACGTAAACCAGTCATTTATGAATTATCATTACTATCTTCCAGCAGGACGTTAGTTTGAAATCTTGATCATGGGATATCACTTGGTGGTATTACTCGGCCTCGTGGTGTGTACGCACAGCTGACGGGACGAGAGACTATTGGGACCTATATATTGATCGGCGGAATTAGGCTTCCGTTTTCACGCAAGTTTCGCCCCTTTCCCTTCCAGTTTCTGGGATTTCAATATATTACACCATCTGCAGACAACGCTTTGGTGGAAGCTACAGCCCAACATATATAAGCCATAGTAAACAGTAGCCTAGGGACTTATTGTGCTCTTGCGTCGATGATGTGTATTAATTCGTATTGCGTGACTCCCGCTCTGACATCACATTCACTTCATGCCATCTACACCTGTTAACAGAGCCTAGGAGTTAGAGCAAGATTGTAGGTGGCGGGTTTTGTGGTCCGGATAGAGAGAGAGATTATAATGAATCATCTGTAAGTGTATCTCTATATTCCTGGAAATCAAGTAATGTACAGAGCAACAACGGTAGCCGTACGCCCCCTTATCCAAGCGTAAAAACCCATCTCACTGCCCCCTTTAGAACCCAAAACCCAAATGATCATAAATAACGTTTCCCATAGGATATCCTGAGCCCCACTTTATTTTCGGCGTGGTAATTACGGAGATCCCCGTCATCACCAAAATATTGTATCTTCGATCATTGACCCCACCAACCTAGAGCGTACATACATGTATCTTGAACCTCGGTTTCCGATGAAGCGACGAAGGGCTAGAAGAAAAGAGCGGATAGAATTAATGACTGGGGAAGGAGACGGAAGGAAAGAAAGAAAGAAAGGATTACTGTTTTGCTCTCTTGGAACTCAGAGGCGGATGCATTATTAATTATTTTCAAAGAGAAACTAGGTGTCGGGTGCTTTGCTGGGAGCGTTGGGGTGCTACGGGCGCGCGAGCGCTCGATTGGGCGCGGCAACCAAAGGTATAGGTTAGGGGATGGATAGGAGAGTGGTGTGGGTATTAAAGGGTACGACCGCCCACTTCTATGAAAGTAAGCCCCTACCGACAAATTTTCGCAGGTAAGTTCTGGTTACAGGGGTTGTGTGCACAAGTATGTAAAAAGTTGGCAAAACATCCCTGCAAATTAGATAATCGGCCCAAAGAGAAATTCGGTCAGCAGAGGGTGAGTGTACAGATAATTGATTATGGATCTGTCGAGCTTAAGTCAAACCAGAGAGCAGGTTCGGTATTATAAAAAAAAACCCGCGAAACGTGGTCCTTAGATAGAGACTCGATATCATTTATGCTCGCTCGGCCCATAGGGGGTCAATGATCGATAATACAACATATTTGGTGTATGGCGTAACAACTATAGAGGCGTACAAATAAAAGGCGTATACGTATTTAAAGCGGGATTGAAGTTTGACTCGTCGTGGTACCGTGCTCATTGGATAGTGAAAACTCTATGAATGGAGCTGTTCCGGATTGTGGGCCACACTATCGGCAACGTTGAGGCCATCCATTATAATAGGTTGACTTGCGCATACTTACAAGAAAGCCAACAAGATCATCACTTTCAATATCGTGTCATGTTGGGTGTCTCTCTACAAGAGAAATATTTTGTCTCCTAATTTTGAGTTGGTGTCCGATCATATCCCTCGGTGCCCAATATGCCCTCCTGAGTTTGGGTCTAAAATGACGAACACGAGCGACTTCACTCCAAGCAATACAGCGTGCTCCACTCTATCATTTCATCATTCCCTATTATTTTAGACCTTAGGGCGAGGTCGGTTGTTGGAAGAAAACTAGGAGAGCGAGTAAGCCCCGAAAATTTCGTGCGCATGTTCAACCAGATGCAAACTCCGGTACTCGGAATCTCCACGCTCATAGGTGCAACTCGACAGTGAATTAATCACTCATGATAAAGTAAGAGAGAAGGAGCCTAGGCCCTAGGCTCTCTTCAGCTGTTCCTGGCCTGTTCGCTGCGGCCAACCTACTAAACCTCGACGACCAAGATTTCTAAGACATGGCGTATAGAGGCGTCATGCAAAACCAAGAACCTGAGGAGCATCCTACTGCCGAGCTCTTTTTTCTCTTATTTGTCTAAAGACAACGCCACCGGGCACAGCGGCGGGCGGGCCCACTAACACACTTGACGGCGTGAGGCGCATATGTACTACCACGGGTGCCCCATTCACATTTCTGTGGGACGGTTTTCATTAGAGTTTCCTTATGCAATAGTCCACAAACAGACTAGACCGTAAGGACAGCTGCCGGAAGTTGCTGGTTTGGCAACAAAGTAATTTTTTGCTGAGCGAGGTTCAGGAAACCGTCATCCTGCCCCTCAAGCATTACTGGGAAGTCTTAAACATGAGATGCGTCTCTGGGTTGTGGAATGGGGGTTGTGGAATGGGGGTTGTGGAACGGAGGTTGTGGGTGCCCGTATACGGCGGGGAGAAGTACTGTTACATATGGCCGGGTCTATACTTGCATAGCTACTACCTCAGGGCTTCACTTGCTGGAGGCATACTTTCTCCGGACAACATTGAGCTGGGTTAGTTGATCAGTCAGGTCACCCATGGGCCGCGTGAGTAAGAGAAAAATGAAGTAGGATTTGAATTTTGGGTTATTGTTGTGAGCCATGAACAACAGTTCCTGTGCTGTAACAAACGTTCTCTGGTAATGTCTCATGGCTTATATCGGTCTATTGTTAGGCGGGCGCCAACTACCAATGACAAAAAAGGCCGGCTGTTGGGAGAAGGGTCTTATGCGTGGATGGGGTTATGTAGTTACAAATATCAGTGTTTTCTCGGTAGACTGGCAAATAGGGCGGAGAGTACCTGGGATTCATGTTTGACCGCGCGCGTAGGTGTAGTTGAGCAAGAACCAAAATAGGTTCCTTGGCCCTCGGAAATGCACGTTGTCGGGCGGCTAGAGGTAATTATAAACGATTTGTGAGGGGACGCTTATGGTAGCCGAAGTAGACGCCAAGGGAAACGTAGCGCTTAAGCAGTATTATGTACAGGTGTGATAGTTCCTTTGTCACGTCTTGTCAGATCATCATCATCAATACATGTTTCCTGTCAGTCGAAATTTGATCTATCTCGTATTCGTATCGTCGTCGAAGAAAGCGGCCAACAACGTCTGGCTTGGCGATCGAGTGATCTGTCTTGAAGCAAAACTGGTTCCCAACAGCAGCTGCAGGGGTCAAACGTAACCCGGAATAACTCTAATAGGTGTATTTCGCGTATGGTGTGTAAGTGAATGCAGGGTGGTCTGAGAATCTGGGGACAAAACGCAGTCTTGTATTTCCAGTTCTAGCTTGATGGACGCAAGGGGGAACGGGTGTGTGGAATGGTGATGACGATTTGTGGAAAGACCGCATTTTTCTGGCTGGTGGGGGGAGAAGAACTAGGAAGGAAGAAGAAGAGGGTGTAGAGTGAAAGAGGCCAGATATTCCCTGAGTATATCTGCTTGTCTCTAAAACAGAAGAAAGTGTTCATGAGAGTATGACAGGTGATCTCGTGAGTTGGGCGCCGGGCTATTGTAGTGCGAGTACTAGAGCGAAGCCCTCGATAGAAATAAGGTTTACTAGTGCGGCTTAGGTTTTCTAGGGTTCGAATATCAGCCTCTTGAACGGGCAGTTGGAGCACACGTCCTCGTTTCTGTACTCCCGCTATCAACCTGCCTTAAGACGATTATACATGGTTTGTGATGGTGTGGTAAGGTTTATGTAATTTTGGGACTGCATCAAGTCTATAACGGAGAACACCACTCCATGAGCTTTTGACTTCAAGCAAGCCGCTTCATCGTTTGTCTGTCTCGGCTACAAAGACTTCCGGAACCGGATCCGTCGTAGCTTCCATAGTTCAGAAAACGGCAATATTCTTTTTGGAGCTGTCTCTTACCCTAAGCTTCTCTATCCCGTTTGTTGCTGAGTGTCCACCGAAGGATAGTTACATAGTGGCCCCCGTATTACGATTGCTTATCGAGTGGTTCGCAATTCTTCATCCGGCTTTTTCTTCATGCGCCGCCACACTACTATATCATGCACAAACATACGATACTATTCGGCCTACCCAATAGCCGATAAACAGGCTGTGTTGTGAAATTTTCTTATACCCAGCAGCGGTAGTTGTGAAACAGTTACTGCTTTCAGTGTCCTGCGCTGCTATGTACTCACAAGAAAAATATTAGCATAGGGGGCTCAGCTGAGCCGCACTCACGCCTCACATGCGTATCTATCCCTGCAAACAGCTATTGAGCGAGATACCCCTAAAAGCATCAGGGATGGGGAGGGCTTGGTGATATTGCTGACGGCGGAAGAACCAACTATCTTAACCTGACTGAACTTTACATACAACAGCTGTGACAGAGGTACTGAGGGTTTATATAGTTTTTTACTCTGAATATGGTATATGCTTTGCAGTTGACAGATCATAGGTACAACTGGGAAGGTAGGGGGGGCAACAGATTTCCTAAAGAGGATCCCTAACTCTGGCGATCAAACGCCATCTCATTTCACTCATTATGCAGATTGTCAGGCGAAAAACCGGGGAGATCGTGTGCGACAGAAAATGATAACGACTGAGGCTCAAACCGGGGGGGGGGGGGGGGGGGGTAAGCTTCCTAATGTGAAGAGAAATGTTATCGTTAACGTGCTTCACCGGGAAAGGTCATATTTAAACTTGGATTATGACTGTCAATGGGCAAAAATACCGAAAAACAAATCTTTCCCACCAATTGACAGCGGTAGCACAACAACCATAAGGTCCACAGCCCTAGGACTTAAATATTCAATCTCTAGCTACCTATGTATCTTTGATTTACCAACCTTATCAGAATCATTGACTACAAATGAAATAATTGCCATAATACCTACTCGCGCTGCCGGATTAAAGCCGCTCAGACAAAAAAGGTAACTGATCCGAATACTGCAAAAACGTGAGCTCTTATTGGCTGCCAGATCACTCACCACATGCGTGCAGTTCTTTGAGCGGCTTCAAACCAGCCGCGCGGGTACTAAAACAATGTCCCAAGACCACCCCCATTTGGCCCCTTTTAGACACCTCTATGGGAGTGTCCTTGCTTCCTTTTCAAATTAAATGTAAATAAAACTTTCCCACACTTTATTTATCTTTTTGTTTTTTTGACGTTCTGATTGCTTACCGGTGATCATGAAACATGTTATTACTCAACTCGATATCGTGTGCCTAGCGCGCGGCGGGACCGGGCGGGGTAGAGCACACTGGCCAGGATCTCTTTGGTCCAGTTCGGTCTTTAGCCTAGCCTTATCCATAATCGTGAAAATCGAAAAGCTGGGAGAGTGATATTCTTTGGAACCGGAGAATTTAATTTGCATGCGGACGGGGGTATTGGGAGATGTTATGCTCTTGATGTGCCGGATCCAATTTCACTCAACTGAAAGTCCTGCATTCAACCCTAAACGCGCCTAATTTCTTTCGTACCTACTCTTGACCGTCATTCACAAAGTTGTCTTGTCTTCTTCTATTCCTCCACCCCGGAGTTTACCCTCTATTCTATTTCATTTTATCCTTAGCATTCTTGGACGGGAAGGAAGCAAGAGTAAAGCTCCGTACAAGGTTCACGCGTCGTCACCACTTGCCCCTTTCCGAAATCGAGAGATCTAAGGAAGCCTACCTCTTCTTCCTCTTCCTCTTCCTCTTCCTCTTCCTCTTCCTTCTCCTTCTCTCCTCCTCTTTCTACCCCTCCGTCCACACACCCCACACACACTCCCTCCTCCCACGTTCAACCAACGGGTAGTGTTAGTAACTCCTACTTTTACCTGCTTTATACATCTCCCTACCTCCAGAGAGGTGTAAGAGGTGCGGAAGAGCTTTTTATCTCATTACTCCTACTTAACCCACGAGTACATCCGAACAGGCAAGGCACGGACAGGAAAGACATACATAACAGAGCCGCTGAGCGCACATACCTCCAGAAAAACAACCTCTCGGTTTCTAGAAATCATGGCCCGATTATATTCAAAGTAACTATCCACTTCCCCCAAACTCGATCCAGTCGGTCGGCTCTCTAACGGGTTGTGTGCGCCCATCAGGAGCTGTTTTCTCGCTCTAATTATAGTTTTTCTTTTCGTCACTTTCGCAGCCTTCTTCGACTCGCTGCCGAAGAACCCTTACTATGGTGCTGCCTCATCACTACTAAATCCAAATCAGGACTCTCAGCTCCAAGACGCCGCTGGGCAGGCCCCAGCGCAGGAGCAATCGACCAGTATGCATCATGCCTTCACCACCACAACCTCTACTAGAGCTACCGCCCCAGCACCGACGCTTGAGCCAGAAACAACACCCGAGAAAGAACAGACAGAGGAGGAGCGGAAAAAAGCAGAAGACAAGAAACGAATCGAAGAAATGCGCAAGAAGCAAATACAAGCCGCCAAAGTCGCTAAACAAGTCGACTTTACCATTCCCGACGACATCAAATACGACCCTGCTGGCCCGAGACCAGACCAGATCATCCTCCTCTGCGCATCCGACGGAAAGGGCCACAACGGCGGTATCGAGAACCTGTTTGAGCAGACGCAGGTAAACAGACAAGCATACGCCGACTTCCATGGATACACTTACCACTTTATCAACATCTCAAAATACGACATAGGCGGCTCCCACCCTGTATGGGCGAAACTTCCAGCTATCGCAGAGACATTCAACACCTTCCCGGATGCGCAGTGGATCTGGTGGTTGGACCTTGATGCGCTCATCATGACGCCCAGCGTGGACTTGAACGAGTTGTTGCTTTCCCATGCGGCGCTCGAGAAGAAGATCCTTACTGGCCAGACATTTAACCGCCCTGGCGGGGGAGAGACCGAAGTCGCGACTCCGGAGAAGTTTGATGTCAAAAACATTGACTTGATCTTCAGTCAGGACCATAATGGCATTAACGCAGGGAGCTTCTTTATTAGAAGAAGCCACTGGACTAGGATGTTTATGGATATATGGGCGGACCCTGTCTTTATTATGAAGCCCTGGCTTGGGCAGGAGCAGAGCGCAGTGGTGAGTTTTCATCCCACCGCCACAAGTCCCAGAAAACTAACGATGGTATGAAATAGCTCCACCTCGCCCTACACCACCGTACGGTACTGGAACATTTCGCCCTTGTCCCACAAACTACGCTGAACGCATACGCGGTCGGCACCCCCGGAATGGGATGGCAGAAAGGAGACCTCGTTGTGCATCTCGCGGGGTGCTGGGTCGAGGACCAGTGTAGTATGCGATGGGAACAGTACTCGGCAATGAAGGAGGCCCTACCGGAGAAGCTGGAGGTTAAGGAGCCCACGAGACAGGAACCGGAGTTGAGCACTGATGCTGCTGCACCATAATCACATATCGGCGCACTGGTATTCTCGTTTTCCTTTTGTCTTCTGTTAATGGATCTTTTTTTTTTTATCGCTATCCACTCTGGGATAGCTTGGGATGGGGGGTTTTGGGGTTCTCTTTTTTTTTTATACATCCTCCTCCGGATCCGGGGGTGTTGGGTGTGGGCGTGATGGAGTGGGGATGGGTATATATATACTGGATGGATGAATGGATGGGTATTGCTTCCTTGTTATTTGTTGGTATACTTATTACTGATATTATTCTCATAGCTGTCGCTGCGTTTTTTTTTTTTCTTTCTTTTTTTTTTTTGGTTTATAGTTAGTTCTTGCTGCTGCAATTCATACCCATCCCTTCTTACCCGGCTACGCTACAATTGATCTGGGATACATACATACATCATATTTCGTTCATTTTTTTCTTTGTTCTTTCTTTTGTCGGTGGTACTACTATTGGGATTGTATGGTGAACGGTTGGGATGGGGTGCGGGTGCGGGTAGTGGGAAGAAAAAGTTGTTCGTGTTATATGGGAAGCAAGTGGAGGCAGGGAAGGACAGCGGGGGGAGTGTTAATAGGTACACGTAGTTGAGAGCGGGATAAAAATGCACAGTTCAAGTTCAGATATCGGACAAGCGGGCTGTTTAATGCGTCCAAGTTATCCAACAGTAATATGGAGATTAGGTAGAGGGCCGGGAGAAATTAATATTACAGAATCGAACCCCATCAATTTCAATTTAACGCGGCAAAAAATCTACAAGAAGACAGTTTCTTTTCCCGGCCCTAAGTAGCTACAAGTAAACTAACCAACTCGCAATCATTGACACTTCCACGTACAAGCATTGCAAGAACGAGAACCCTAGATAAAAAAAACAAAGACAAAAAACACCCCCCCCCCGCCCCAAACTCCCGAACCCGGATTAAAAAAAAAAGCCTAACTAACCCTAACAGCCCCAGCAACGCCAGTGAGAATTTTTTTTTTTGAATCGTGATCGTGTTTGTGTGTCCCCCCGAGGCCCTAGAAGAACAGAAAAAGAAAGAGAGAGAGAGAGAGAGAGAGAGAGAGGCTTTCGATTGAATTTTTGATGGCCCGGTAGTGGGGAGAGTAGTGTGGTAGTGTGGAGACGTGAAGTGGAATGGAGAGAAGAGAGAGAAAAAGATAAATGCAAAACCAACCAAACCAACCAGCCAACCAACCAACCAACCAACCCAGAGTAAACTAGTAGTAGAAGAAAAAAAAAGGGAATAAAAGTAATAATACAAGAAGTGGGGTGCGTGGTTTCCCGGGTGCTCCATGGGCGAGATTTTGACATTTGCCGTGGATGGATGGGGTATGGAGGGAGTGAGAGAAAAGAAAGACAGAAAGAGTTCGATTCCGGATTCCTCGGAATGAGAGAATATAGGTAGTCGTTTCAGCTTCATTTCTTGTTGTTAATAATCCCCTCCACATCTCCCGTCTCTAAGAGCAAGCAAAAAAATAAAAAAAAGCCCGGAGCACCTGCAAAAACAGAAAGAAAGAAAAAGAAAAAGAAAAAAAGATATCCACCACGCCCCCAACACCCCAAATCAAAGCAAAGCAACCCCCCCAATTCAACAATCCTCATTCTTAACCTTCCTCGTCCTCGGCTTCCTCGGCTTCTTCACGCTCGGCGGCGCCTGCGCATCCTCCGACTCGGGCCCGCCGCCGCCCGACGAGCAGTTGCCCCCGTTGTTGTTGCTGCTGTCGACGGTCGGCAGCGGGATGTCGGGCACCTTGGCGATGATCTCGGCCAGGAAGTCGAATTGCTCCTCGTGCAGGACCGCCTGCTTGAGGTGGCCGGCGGTGATGCGCTTGGAGTTGCGCTGGCGCGCCTGGGCGGAGGCCTTTTCGCAGAGAGCGATCATGAATAGCTCGAGTGCCTTGGAGACGACGACGGGTGTGACCTAGGCGGGGGCGGGGTGTTAGTAGGGTGTTCTGTGGTGGGGGGGGCCGAGTGATGGGGTGTGATGGGGACAAGGAATGGGATGGGATGGGGAGTTGGGTGGGGGGGGCGGGGGAGAGAGCTTGCTTACTTGGGCGACTTTGCCGACGTCCTCGTCGGCCTGCATGATGCGCTTGATCCGCGCGACGGGGAACTTTGTCTTGATCTCGACGACGCGGCCGTCGGCTGTGCTGAAGCCGGTGCTTGTTGTTGTTGTGGAAATGGTGCTGGACTCGGCGGTGGCTGGTGGGGGTGGCCCGTTGTTGATGTTGTTGACGTTGACGTTGTTGGTGCGGCTGCGGCGGGGGCGGCCGGGTTTGGCCTTCTCTTGGATCGGCGACGAGGCGAGATCCATGGGCTGCGGTGGGGGCGGGGGTGGGGGTGGCGCTGAGTTGTGGTGCTGCTGCATGGCGCCGTGGACGGGGTCGTAGGGGAGGAAGTCCATGATGGATGACGTAAGGGTTGGGTTATTTATTTATTTATTTATTTGGGGATGGATGTGAGAGAGTGGCTTGGCGGTGTGGTGATATTTGGATTGGCTGGTGGGGGGGTGGAGGGAGGGCTTTGTTGTGAGTGGTTGCGGTGTGTGTGAATAGGCAACTAAACTGCGTTGTTCGGGTATAGCGTGTGTGAGTGTGCGTGTGTGTGGATGTGTGAAAGAAGATCTCAGGTAAGATGGTGTTTGTGGATCCACGGTAAAAGAGGCAGGCAGAGGTAACAGTAGTAGCGTAGTATGGATGGTAGGGGTAGAGTAATTGTGCTTGTGCGTGTAGGTACTTTGCAGGGTACTTGGCTCTTTTCTAAAGCCTAGGCAATTTACTTAATGGGAGGCACTCTTTATGAGAGATCCAACTATTAAAGATTCCACGTTACTGGGGGAGGATGGAATGGATGGGGGAAGAAGAAAGAGCAGCAAGAGTAGCAGTGATAGTCAGCCCGGTGGTGGCGGGACACCTTGTAGACTCTGCGCACACTTTGATTGATAGCTGGCTGGTGCTAGGTAGTAGCCTCAGGACAGGACAGGACAGGAGAGAGAAAGAGTGGCTGGATAGCTGCAGGGGACGTTTGTTGGTTTTTGGGGATGTGGAAAACCGAATTTAGCGGCAATGTACGGTACAGTACGGGGCGGTCTGAACAGAAATATTTCTGTGGAGCGGAATTTGCCGGGCGAGAAAATAAATGGGGGGAGGGTTATGTAAATCGTGATAAATAAATAAAAATAAAAAAAGGGCGATTTTTAATTTGCTGGTTTGGGGGGTCGTTTATATTTTTGTGATTGGCCGGAAAATGAGGAAAAGAAGGCGTAATGCGGATGACACCCCAAGGAGAATGGTAGTCAAAAAGCAGTAGGTAGTAAGCAAGTAAGCAAGCGAGATCAAAAAAAATGCCGAAGCAGTGCGTCTCTCCCTTTCTGATGGACGAGCTGCTGGCTGAGGGGGCAACTGTTGCGTCCTTATATTATTTTCCCTGGTGGGCCTGCCACGGGAGTGTCCCCAACCAGCTGCCAAGACCTATTAAATCGCTACTGGGGGGAACCAAAGAGAAAAAAGTACAAAAAAAAAAAAAAATTGGTGCCCGCCCAGTCATGGGCGCTCGTTTGTTTCCTTCCCCTAGCCCTAGCAAAGAAAGCGATCCTTGCATCATGCGAGCTTTGATGGGTCGGCCGTGCATACCCCATATAATCCCACTATGACCGACCTCTCCTCTTGATCTTCTCCTCTTCCTCCTCTTCTCTTCCTCTTCTTCTCCTTCCAACAACAGTTTTGGATGATGATAGCAAGAGCCCCGAGGATGGACTGTCCTGGAGGCTCTTCACGATTTCTCGTAGTCCTCCATGCTTGTGCCCCCTGTGTTTAACCCTCGTGGTTGAAGCTAGGCTACGAGCGTGGAAGGGACGAAGGAAGGGGGGGGAGCCTCTGGATGGTCTGTCTGGTGACGGACTTTAAAAATTACTTGATCTAATCTGACATAAAATAAATAAATAATAATTCTGTTGATCTTTAAATAAGTGTTTTTGCGCGGTAATAATGAGTCTTCGCGTGGTGTTCATCTTCTGTTCTGTTCTGGAAGCACTTGTTTTTTACGCGTCATGCATGGTGTACATGTAGTTGTGCATTGGGAGTAGGAAGGTGGTAGCTCAAATCACACTTCAGGCTCGATGGAGGACAAGTGTAATTGCCATCTAGTCTTTCATGTATGTACAAGACAAGAAATGAGGATTCAGCCTCTTCAGCCGAGGTCACAAACCTCGATCTATGATATCGATCCCGTAGATCGAACACATATGGTAAAGAAGTGAGTTGTTCTCAAGACAGTATTGTTGAGTGAAAGAAAAAAAAGGAATATCCCTTAAGCTTTGCAACAAAGTTAGAGAACACCTATCGATATATACCATGGGAGATACTATAGAAAAAACGAATAACTGAAAGAAGAGGGAAAAAAAAAAAACTAGCATGAGCGGGTGTGGCGAGATTATTAGAGCTTAAGCCACCCTTGTAGTTCTATGATGTCGATATCGTGGTGACCAGGCCAGAAGGATCTACAGACGTCGAGGCCCTCTGCTCTAGCTGCTCGTGATTGGTAGGGCAGGCGGTAGGATTTCTCGTCAAATCAAAAAACATCCAGGGATAATTCGTTTCCATTCCCACTACAGTACTCTACTGGTGGCCTATTAGACTCGTAGCGGTAACGTTCGACAATTGCAACCGGGGGTGCGGAAAGGTTGGTGCGCTGAGCAATAGGACACATATGTGACCAACACTGGACACATCTGTGACTGTAGCCTAGGGTAGGATGGGCCAGGTACAGGTGATATGATAATGGTATGGCTATGAGGCCCGCTCGGCTTCAACGAGGCTGTTGTGAAAACCACAAAAGCCAGCTTGGTCTGGTGTGGTGTGTGGTGGATAGATATCTCCTTGCAGTATGCGGTCCTCGATAGTGCACGCAAGGGTTAGGGCTTGCGTCATAACAGAGAGTTTGGTGGGAATGCTTTGATATATCAGTTATCCAGGCGGAACATATTGGGTGACCCCCGTAGAAACATACGCACTCACTCGAGCCAAGTTGTGACTCTACTACGTAGACGCAACACCACTTAACAAAACACTACGCTAAAGCCAAATCCAGCATTGTCCGTTCGCCGCTATATAAAGAGAAATTACTTTACAGAAAAGAAAAAAAGAAAAAACAGAAAAACACGCTAACATTGAAACGCAATGCCCTCCTTCTCCGTCGTGACATTACCTCCACCCGCCGAGAAGCCTGTCCCGTCGCTCTGTATGAGCACCAGCCCAGGCTTCACCCCGCTCTTCTTTGATTTTTTCGCCTTCTTCTCCACCACCTCTGACAGGACTTCGTCACAGACATAGCAGGTCACAACCTTTGCGGAGGTGTCGTGTGGGTCGTCATTCTGCGAGCAGAGGAACTTGTCGGCGCAGGGTTTGCAGAGGACGTGACCGCAGGGTTTGGCAACTGTTATATGTCGTCAATATCATTGGTATTAGAAGGGCAAGGATGATGAAACTTACGCATGGCTTTTGTAGCGTTGTTGAGACCCTTCTTACAGCTGGGACAGACTCGTTGGGGGTCTCCGTGCTTGGTCCGCTCGTCCTTCTCTTCGGCGAATTGGACAGCGATCAACGTTTTGAGGTTGTAGTTGTGGATCTTGTTCTTTTCAGAGGCGGGGCAGACGGGGTTGAGCTTTAGTGGCTTTTTGGGCACGTCGGAGGCGGCGACGGAGGGCGTGAGACTGGGGACCCAGAATGAGGGGAGTTTTTGGATTGAGGCTACTGACTGGGTGGATGTTAGTATAGATGTATATAAAGAAAGTTGTGATGTAGAGAACGGAATCGGAAGGTACCTTCTCATTATTGATATGGATCTTGGCCTTCTGCCTTTCTTCCCTCGCAAGCCGCATGAGCTCCTCTTCATCGAGCTCAAACTTCCTCTTCTTCCCCCTTTTACCCTCCTTCTCCGCCCCCTCCTCAGTGGTACCCTCATCACCTTCATGCTCCTCAAGAATGATCTTCCCCCCCTCTCTGCCCACGACCTTCGGCGGCCCCATCCCAAAGATAGCCCTCGGATTCAGCTCCCGCTCACTGCGTGTCCGAATCTCAAGCCCCATCTGCAGCAGCTCAAAGTCCTTCACCGCGCGCTCCTTTGCCTCCTCCTCGCCGCGCTCCCGCTCCTCCTCCTCCTCCTTGATGCGGCGGTCGAGCTCGGCCTGCATGCGCTTGATCTCCTTGTGCTGGCTGAGCAGGTTCTCGACGGCGCATTCGCGGCAGAAGAGATCGCCGTGGTCGCAGGAGACGGGGTCGCGGCAGCGCTGCAGACATAGGTTGCAGGCGTCGAGGGGCTTGAAGGAGTCGCGGGTGAGGCGGGTTCGCTGCTTGCCGTAGTCGCCTTTGAGCAGGGAGCGTTCGTAGGAGCTGCAGGGCGAGGGTGTGTTAGTTTATGGCCTTGGGGTATTCAATAGGGGCGGAGAGAGAGAGAGAGCTACGTGAAGAATGCGAGCGAGGTATTCCGTTTTGAGTGCGACATCCTGGGGGAATTGGGGTGGCTTTGAGGGTTTCTATCGGCGTTTGGTGATAGCAGGTATCGTGTGGGTATGGATGGTGCATGGAGTTGAGGACTCGGTGGGACTTGGCAGGTCACGTGAGCACGTTTCTCGCGTTGTTTCAGGTGGACGTGAGAGTGGGGACAGACATGGATCATGAGATATCACTTGTCGGATGAAACTCGCTCGAGTGACTCGCTGTGAAAACACCAATAATGTCGAGAATATACACGTAGCGTTTTGATGCGTATCCTGCGTAACTCGTGTTTATAAATTCATATTATTTGTCGTCAATTACGTACTGCGGCCACGGCGGCCCCAGTTGACGCCAACACGGCATTTGCTCATAGATGATGACTGACAGTTCACAGCTACATACAGTAGCAGTTGCTACGTTTCTAATTCATGAGGCCAGCGATGATCTGCCAAGACGTAGCTAGAGTATAAAACGAGAGTTTCTGCCCTCTTCCTTCTCCTCCTCATCTTCTTCATACTCATGAGTTTGGTTCCTCAATATCCGGATCTTGCCTCCGCCGGTGATTGGCTTATTCAAAGTGGGGGAGCTACATAATTATCAATTCTGGTTGCTCTCAGTTTGATTGATCCGTGATAATTTATGATATAGTTTTGCCAGGGGGGTGAAGGCAAAGGATTTCCAGAGGAAGTAGGTGTTCATTCCCCAAACCCCAACGAAAGACCGGAAACTAATGCTGGTTTTGAATCAGGTTGAAACTTCACTCCATGGCAATATAATACTCAGTCTAGACGAACGATCAACTCAATCAAGAACTCTGAGTGTCAGACCATCACCTTATAGTATGCAAGTATTTGTGGTACGGCACAAAGGCAAAGAGAGACCTGTCATCGACATGCGAATGCTGAATGAGCTCGTACCTGGAGATGCCTATTCATTACCTAGCCAAGAGGACATACTCGCCAATATCAGCGGCATGAAATTCATCAGCGCGCTTGACATTACGTCAGCCTTCTACCAGCGCATGATCCATCCCGACGACAGGTACCGTACTGGAGTTGGGGTGTATCATCTGCTATACTCTCTTCTAGGGCGACTGTACTGATCTCGAGGATATGGATGCGAAATTATAGTTTTGCGTCACCGAATGAATAGGTTCTGTGCAGCGAACCTCAAATTTGCAGATCTCCCAAGATATACATAGATTTTGGCCTCGCTTTACTCTACTTGGGGAGGATATGAGTTGTTGTAAAGTTGATTACGAACGTGTAATCGGCGACGTCATGGAGTGATTTCTGCCATACTGGGTGATACCAATGGGTCCTATGGTTGGCCGGGGTATACTGGCGTAGAGTTGTATCCCAGCCTAGAATTCCTGGACAAAGGTGGATTCAATATGGTATGGCTTCTGACCATAAATGGGGCGGACGTAAGTATAGAGCTTTATATATACATTTAATGTTGGATAAGCTAACCTCCTCCTCCACAGGCCCAGCCAAGACACATGGTTTTTCGTGTCCCGATAGACAGGCCAAGTGAATGCCCGGGAATCAAGGTTAGTCCTGTGAATGAGGTTGCTACCCTCGTGTATATTCGCAAGAATGTACCGAGTATTCCGGTTCCACAGGTGTATGCCTTTGATGGCGGCGACACGCTGATTGGGGTTCCGTTTTTCGCGATGGTGTGAGGCCACGATGTCATCATAGTAGAATAATAAGGGAAGGCTTCTCCATCCCCTCTAGAGAATCATCAATAGAAGTAACCATCAAGTCACCTACTACGTGTCACTTCAGATGGAGTACGTGCTTTCGGTGTTATAATAGGAAAAGTGAAATAACGACAAGACAGCTTGCTGTAGCGTTGTATTATTAGGTTCAAAATTTAGAGCACTTGTTTATAACTACAAATTAAGGCGTCAATATAAGGATTTTTTTTTTCCCCACAAAAGTTAATTGAAACGCATATATCTTCAAAGTCAATTATGTGTTTGACAAAAGGACGTTTCATCGATACTAACTGATTAGATTAGAAAACGCGTATGTATGAGTTGTTAGATACAATTCTTGGAAGAGAATGATTATAAGCTTAAACCTTGTGCCACTTTTTCACTCCTTCATGCCGGTAGAAAATGCATACTAGTTACGGGAAATTCCGCTGAGCCTCATTGATACCGGTGACGTCAGAGGATAGGTGAGCGAAGATTGATCGTTGGGGATAGGATGAAGCTTTTGTTCCTACATGGTACTTTTGCCCTAGGTTGCTGTTTTATGGTTGATCGTCGAGGAGGTTGAGCGCTAAGTTCGCCAATGAACGAACCGGGCATCTGGTAAACATAAATAGTAAAACAGTCATACTACATTTAGGTAGGACATGCAGTAGAATGTATCGGTAAATAGGCGCGGGCAAGAAGAAGAAGTTGTTAACAGTAGAAAATTTCGAATCATCGTAATTTGGAACGGGCACGTTTGCTCTGTCCTGGACAGTGCGAGTCCATGAGTCGAGTCTAACTACATGTACTAAACAGCGCAGCGCACCGCACGGATAGACTAATGTAGGGCATGAAAGCTACCGCAGTAGAGTACCTGAGCTAGTAACGGTAACCCGAAAAAAAAAAAAAAGGCGCCCCCAAAGCGTACGCCTTGACATATTTCCAGAACATGCCATGCCCCTCCCTCCTTACTCTAAACCAGGGTTTCTCTCCATCCTGTGAATCCTTGAGTTTTAGCTGATGATGCTGATGATGCTGGTTGTGGAGAGGAGAAGAAGAAAATTCAAAAGCTGTGGTTGTTGACACGTGCTCTGCCTAAAAGTACTGTATCCACATCCACAACTTCCCACTTTAGAAAAACCCACTTCGATCTGTTCTGAAAGAGTCCAGAGAACCCGTGATTCCAGCCTTGTTTAGGCTTAGTGAGGTACCCACCTCGAGGGTGCTTTGTTTACACACGTCTCCCCACTGCTGTTCCTGTGTTTACACTTGCACCATCTCCGTACTCTGCTCTACGTACGTCGGCTGCCCGCCTGTGACTTTAAAAAAGTGATATACTGTTCTGAAGCCTGTCTGCCTGTCTGCCTGTCTCCCCCGCCCCCGCGACCTCTCTTGACTTGAATCTACCACTCGATCAGGACAACGACAACGCCCAACTGAATCTCTGAAACTTGAACCCTTCCCCTCGATCCCCTCCACCCCCTCCATTGTATTCTTAGAAACCTGCCCTACCTATCAAAAGTACCTACATAACAGGGGAGAGTTCTTATTGCTGGAGCTTAAGTTCATCTCTTCTTCACCGCCCACGTAACTACAAAAGATATATCTTTATATCCTTCCTCTCTTCATTTCACCTCTCGCCCGTCCAGTCAATCACACCCAACCCAACCCAACCCACACCCCCGCGCCTGCTTGTCCGTTCGCTGCTGCTGCTGTCCCCCGCTCCATCCTTCTCCGGACTGCGCTTCTACCTTTCGCCTTCCCGCTTTGCCACAAAGTGGTTCACACACACACCACTCGCACGCCCATAATGGATCACTCCGAGAGAAGTGTAGGCCGTGCCGTCGTTTCTCTGTGCCCCACCAATCAGGAGCTGACCCCTCACATAGTTCATGTACCAGCCCTCCTCATCTCTTCCCCGACCAGGCAGTAGTAGGATCCCCCCGCCAACGCCCTCGACAAAAGTCTTATATGAAATGCCGCCTCCAAATACCACTACACGGCTACCGTCCTACAACACAACCCACAACACAACAACAAACCACAACAACCCTCCTGCTACAATCAACAACGCCTTCTCTACGGGAATCCCTAACTCTACTTTCACTAACACTTCTGCAATCCGCCAGCCCAATAGCCGTAGTAATAGTATCTCCAGCATGAACAACGACTCTGCAATGATGCCTCCACCCTCCCAAGCCGTCACAGCATCCCTCAAACAAAAATCTTCAAGTCGGTCTCCTACCTCATCCTCATCCTCCTCCACATCCTCCTCCTCCCGGGACAACAGCGTTGCTCCCACCTCCCCCAGTTCAATCCCCGTTTTCAATAATAATAATAATAATAATAATCCTAATAAGCGAGATCTCTCATGGAAAAGTACTAAAAGGAAGGTAACCACAGTCTCAGGATCCGGCGGTTTTGGCCAGAAACGCACCACCCTCACGGACCGCGCCGGGCAGCCCGCCAGCGCAAAATTTTCCTCCGGCACCACCCGCGCTGCGGGCGGCAGCAGCACGGCATCCCATGGACGGAGCGCGAGCGGCCAGATGGGGAGGTCAACCTCGTCGTCGGGCTTCTCAAAGAGCGTCGGCAGCAGGCCCAATTCGTCGCTCGGAATACGAGGGGGGGTGCCCGCCCCCGCTCCCAGGACTGGAATTACGGCCCCCGGACCAAGGCCGACAAGTTCGTTGAGTGATCGTCCGGAGAGCGGCGGCAGCGGCGGGATTGATCCCACTGCTGCTATACCGAGGCGGAAGGGTAAGAAGCATAGGGCACCCCCTTCGTTTTCTCCTAGGTTTCAATGCGTTGACAATAGCAACTTTCTAGCATGGGACCTAAAGGGAAGACTCGAGGACACCGAGAGTGCGATCGAGATGATGAGGAGCATGATGATGCAGGAACGTACAGAGTCAAACAATATTAAGGAGCAACTTGAGGATCACAAGTTGAAAGGTAAAGCCAACCCCCCTGTGGGCGATGTGGAAAGTTCTGTATCCTCACACAGCGACTTTTTAGCCTACCAACTCGAGACGATGCGGGTAACCCTCGAAACGAAGAACACGCAGATGCAGCTCGAACTCGAAAACACCATGAAGAAGGCCTCGGAGCTCGAGAGACTCCTCGACGACGAGCGAAGAGACCGCCGGCAGGAACGGGACGATGCAACAAGGAGACTACGCGATGAAACTGACGACATTCGACGAAAGTTACGTGACGAGGTCGAAGCGCTAATCAAATCAAACAGGGAGGCAATGGAGAATTTGGAGCGAAGGGCTCGAATGGAAATTGAGGATGAGCGCGCTGCAAGGCAGAGGGAGGTGCAGGAGATCTCGACAAGGGCAGCAATGGAAAGGCAGAAGCTGGAAATGGAAATGGGCGGGAGCGCACGGGAAATCCGGGGACTAAAGGCAGAGCTTGAGGCAACAATCACCGAGCTTGAGAGGGAAAAGGCCATGACGGCCAATTTGAAGTCCACTCTGTCAGAGTCGTCTTCAACCACGCTCCAGCTGGAATCATCGGCACGTGCTCTTCGGACCCGGATTGAAATGCTTGAGAGCGCTGGACAGTCGCAGGCCCAGAGTTTTGCGGAATTGGAACAGAGGCTTAGACAGGCCCTAGAGGAGACCGCGATAGCGAAGGAGAAGCTTAGGGCTGAGGAAACTTTGCGGAGAAAGCTGCACAACCAGGTTCAGGAGCTCAAGGGAAACATCAGGGTGTTCTGCCGTGTGCGACCAACGCTCCCAGCAGAGGCTGGCGGTGGTGCCGAAATGCAGTTCCCGGACACGGATAAGGAGGGCAAAGAGATCCAGATCATCGGTGCAGCGGAGAAGAGCGCTCTGGGAAACGTTGTTACAAAGGCGTATCCATTCTCTTTCGACAAAGTATTTGGACCCACTGCACAGAACCCCGAGGTTTTTGAGGAAATTTCACAGTTGGTACAGAGTGCTTTGGATGGATATAATGTGTGCATTTTCTGTTATGGTCAAACTGGTTCCGGAAAGACGTGAGTAACTCCTACCCCCCCTTCCGGATGGCTCTTTTTGGGTCAAATATGCTTACATACATGCAGATATACCATGTCCTCTTCGGACGGTATGATCCCCAAAGCAGTTCACCAGATCTACGAAACCGCCAAGCAGCTCGAGGAAAAGGGTTGGACGTACACCATGGAGGGTCAATTTGTGGAAGTTTACAATGAGAACATCAACGATCTTCTCGGACAGGCCGACGACTTCGACAAAAAGAAGCACGAAATCCGGCACGACCCGAAGGAGTGCAAGACGACCATCACAGATATCAATACCGTAGTGTTGGACAACCCGGCCAAAGTGGAGCAGATTCTCAACCGCGCTTCAAAGACCCGGTCAGTGGCAGCAACCCAGGCGAACGAGCGTTCCTCGCGATCACACAGCGTGTTCATTCTGAAGCTCCGGGGCGTCAACTCGGTCACGGGTGAGAGAAGTGAGGGAACATTGAACTTGGTAGATCTGGCCGGAAGTGAAAGGCTGGCACACAGTCAGGCCACCGGTGACAGGCTGAAGGAGACACAGAGCATCAACAAGAGTCTGAGTTGTCTCGGCGATGTCATTGCAGCGCTCGGGAATGGAAAGGAAGGAGCCCATATTCCATACAGGAACTCCAAGGTAGGGTTTGCCCCGGAAGTAAATTGTTCTATTGGAGAGCGGCTTACTGACATATAAATACAGCTTACATACTTGCTCCAATACTCGCTTGGCGGCAACAGCAAATGTCTCATGTTCGTGATGGTTTCGCCAATGCAGGCCCATTTGGCAGAGACCCTTACGTCCCTCAAGTTTGCAACAAAGGTCAACAACACTTCCATCGGCACCGCAAAGAAGCAGTCGAAGGTGTCGGTATAGATGTAGACAGACAGCTAGCTCCTGCAGCGCCGGAAGAGAATCAGGAAAGTTGTATAGCAGCTGCTGGGCGTTTTTTTTTATTTTTGTCCACTTTCTGTTTGGGTTAGTAGCCGTGACAGTAATAACATCAAAAACCATCAACGGGGGGTTTTAGAACAATACAGGCTACACTTTAAATGGCGAAAAGCAAAAAAGACAAGGGATGGGGGACTTTTGTGGTGCTTGGGTGTTCATGTTGCGGTATGCTTTCATAAATGGAGTTAATAATTCCTTAGCATCTATCAAACGGTGAAGGGGGAACGGGGAACGAGGAAGAGAAAGAAGGAAAAGATCGGGAACGAACACTAGTTAGAGGGCCGGTCATCATAGGTTTTTAAATTAAAGGAATGCATGTAGGGGGGAACTGGCTATAGGGTTGTTTATAGGGGTTATCCGGATTATGTTTTTCTGTTTTTCTCTTTCTTTTTTTCTTTTTTCCTTTTTTCCTTTTTTTTTTTTTTTGACAAAACCACCTGCTTTTTTGGTTAGTCTTATTATTAGTTTTTCCTTTATTCTCGCTTTTCTCTTTTCTTTCGGTACGGTCTGGTCTGGTGTAGGGTATTGTAAGTTTCTAGTTCAAACTCCGGGGGTGCACCGGGGAGTTCCAGCTAACATTTCATAGCGGAGCGGAGATTCTCCTGCCCCCCGTAGTAGTATGTGTTGTCCGGTAGTTAATGCATCTTCCTCATGTTCATCTCTTCATCTATTTTATCTTTTTACCTCCTGTCCTATCATATCTTTTTTATTTTTCATTTTTCCTAGGGGGTCTCGCTTTCTTTTACCTGTAATGTCTGTGATAAAGGAGTCTCTGCTTTGAACCTGGAGACTGTGGGAAAATTTGTCTGGCGCCTGAAAATGTGATGTGTTGAGGCCATGGGAGGGGGGAGGCTGTGTTTTATAGATGGTGGATGGGGAAGTGGCAATAGATATTGATTTGTTTGGAGATAGTCATGAGTGTTCTATAGTTAGTCGATTGAACAGAACATGACGGCGATTAACGAACGAGCGGTGCTGGTGGTTTATGCCGGACCGCCAATTCGCTGGCGTGGTATTAACTACTGGCGGTCGCTGGGGTATGTTAACTGCCCTCAGTGATTGCCCAGCAGACCGGTAGCCATCTAGTTTTCGATCCAATTGTGGGTATGCTTGCGTCCCATGAAGGAAGACGCCTTTGGGCTTATGTTTTTTCACAGCCGTGGCTCCTTGAGTCCGTCCAGCTTTACCCATAGTTCGGTGTTAGCCCCAACTCAGCCCTATTCAACACGAACTTAAGCGCCAACATCTAGAGCTGCTCTTCTATCCAGCGCTGAGACAGGTTTGGAGCTTGCATGTATGTGGCAAACAAAGATCTCAAGTCTTTTCCGGGCATAGTTAGATCCCCGCCCACTGTGTCAAGGGGCAATGATATTTTCGCATGTTTTTCTCCAACGGGTGGATTTTAGTTTATCCTTGGTTGTTTTTGTTTACCGCTATTTCTCATATAGTAGCGGTTGAAGTGCGGTGTTCATGGCGGGTTTCTTGGGTTGTGGGGTTTAGGGTCGTCCGTCCGTTGGGTGGCCGCTGCACTTGCGACGGCAGACTGGTCTGGTCTATATTTTCCATCTCCCGGCCATCAGGAGGTTCTACTATAGATTCTATACACCAATCTCCCAGCGGATCGATAGCGATGGTGTTATAGATTCCTGTAGCCTTAATCCTCCGACCGACCGACCGACCGACCCAGCCCGATCCATGGATCAAGCTGGACCACAAGGGAGTGTGGAATCCATGTGGTTCAGGTTGGGGGGGGGGGACAGGGTGGAACCTACCAAGGTTTTTCGGACAAAAGTTGAGTTTTTTTTCCTATATAAAAAATTGCAAAGATTAGTTTCAGAGGTTCAGACTTTATGAGAGATTGTGGTCCAGCTTGATCCATGGATCAAGCTGGACCACCTAGGCTTGGCATTGGCATAGAGGGTGCTTACTACAGAGAGCACCAGATATCAAAAGACATCAAGCCGGGGCCACTATGAAGAGAATATATCTCTGTAACGGCTTCCTAAGTAGGGCCGAAACGATAGAACATGCCCGCTAAGATATCCGCGACGTTGTCAATTGGTAGCGATTATACGCCATCTGTCAGTGGGTGGAAGAGAGTTGGGGGAGAGGAGTGGATGGAAGGTGGGGGATAAGAGAGAGAGAGAGAGAGAGGTGGGGAAGATATAGTGGGGGAGAGGATGGGAGTGACGTTTACAGGGACTAGGCGTGGATGGTGCGCTGGGGTAAAGGTAACCACATTGGCCGTATGCGTCATGGATTATCACTCGATAAGCACCCACCGCGTACAGCCATTCTAGCTGGTCGATCCTAGTCCTGATAGCTAGCCCATATCGTTATCCAACCTTCGACGTGATGGACGACCAACAGGAAGGCCACTCTGTTTATCTGCAGAGTTCGCTCCATTAGCTCACTAATCATGCTGTCTCGGCAAAAGACCGCGTGGAAGAAAAGTCATGATTGGTGGCATACCTTTACTGAATAAAAAACCATCCTTTGACACCCGATGAGGATGTACCCTCTCCTCTTCTTCCTCTCCCTCTCCATCGGGCATAGATTGAGGTCCGCTCAAGCAAAACCAAGAGGACAACACATTTTACCGTAAATATAGATACTTAGAGGTGATCTGGAAAGAAACTAAAAAAAACACGAAGGAAAGGGCTAAAGGCTACATGTAAACCCCCACTTATAGTTAAGTTTCTATAAGGAGAAAAAAGTACTGGCACCATCCGTCAGTCTTCTAGCTTAAAGGGTTCTCGAGAGGGGTGAAACGTGTGTTTCCTCGTTTTTACGCACTGCTGGAGATGGGGCCTTGTCCTGCGAAAGTACAGTCTTGGGGCATTCGATTTGGCGTGGGTTCTAAGTACATTCTAAACATTCCGTTACATTTATTTCCTTACCGCCAATAATAGCCAACAGAGCCCGCAGCAATACACTCCAAATCCCACCATAGCCGCGAAAGTAGCATCCATCCATGGCCACCCACGCACCCACCTCACCACCCCGCCGGCCAAAATCAGGTCTTGGATCCCCTCCAGACCCTCCTCTCCGTCGGCCAAAATCCAGGCTTGGCACAAATTCCCACCACTATATAAGCACCCCTCTTCCCCCACTTCTTCGTTTCTCCCCAGGGAAGCGGCTCCCTCTGGCCTTGAGTGGCCAGTAGGAGCCCCTGTCTCCTCGCCCCTCCTGGCCCCCTTGGCCCTTGGCCCCTGGCCCCTGTGGCCCTCTCCCTCCTGGCCCTCTCCCTCCTGGCCCTCCCCCTCCTGGCCCTCCTGGCCCTCCCCCTCCTGGCCCTCCTGGCCCTCCCCCTCCTGGCCCTCCTGGCCCTCCCCCTCCTGGCCCTCCTGGCCCTCCCCCTCCTGGCCCTCCTGGCCCTCCCCCTCCTGGCCCTCCTGGCCCTCCCCCTCCTGGCCCTCCCGGCCCTCCCCCTCCTGGCCCTCCCGGCCCTCCTGGCCCTCCCCCTCCTGGCCCTCCTGGCCCTCCCCCTCCTGGCCCTCCCCCTCCTGGCCCTCCTGGCCCTCCCCCCCTCCCTCCTGTTCCTGGCCTTCGCCAGGAACAGGAGGGTAAATCTCCATAAGCTGCATGTCTCCCCACGGGGAACATGCAGCGCCGCCCCCTCCCGGTCCCGCTGGGTGCTGCCGCACCAGCGGACCAGGAGGGGCGCGGGTCACGTTGGCCTCTCTCGGTCCCTTAGGGGGTCGGGAGGGGCCTTTTTTGCGTTCGGTTGGTTGGCCTCTCTCGGTCCCTGCGGGGGGTCGGGAGGGGCCTATTTTACGTTCGGTTGGTTGGCCTCTCTCGGTCCCTTAGGGGGTCGGGAGGGGCCTATTTTACGTTCGGTTCGGCCCCTCCTGTTCCTCCGGGAATGGGAGGGGCCTAAATTACGTTAGGAGCACTCTCCCCGCCTCGGCCCCTCTTGGTCCTTCGGGATCAGGAGGGGCCGAGTTACGTTAAGTTCGGCCCTCGGGGAAGAGAGGGTCTCACTCAATCTCTGGGCGCTGTCCGAGGGGTTGAATGAGACTTCCCTTCTCTTCTCTTTGTGCTCTCCGGATGCGTGAGGCGCCACTAATGCGGCTTGTACGACGGTGGCCGGCATGCCGAGGACTAGCGGCAGTGACGTACGGAGGTGTAGAAGACAGCCATGATGATGGTCTTGTCTGGGGGCCCGCTAGTAAAGTTCAGTCTAGAAAGGCCGTAGTGCTGGTTCGCCGGCAAGAGCTGGGCTGATCCGGAGATTGTCGAGGGTGCCCTTGGGACCAGTACCAAGACCCTGGGCTTTGTCGTCTTTCCGCCCGCGGGCGTCGGTCCAGGTGACCATGTCCTTGGAGACTTACCTGAATCATGGGATATCACTCGTACCGACTTCCGGGCTTGGGAGGTCGTGGCGCCTGTAGTATTGGGCTGGGGTTGTGGGCGGCGCGTTAGGTTGGGATGGGATGCGTATATCTTGGTCTGGGGGTTAAGTATTTCGTGATTTCTTGGTCGTGATATCTTGGCTGTGGCGGGGGGTGGCATCCGGTCTTGCTCGGGCTGGGGAACTTACCCCTAACCCTGGTTAGTACTTGTCGTGATAGAAGAGGCTAGACTGTAGTTATAGGACTACCGCATGTTGTCTTTATGATAGGTGGCTTGGGTTGTAGTGTGGTTGTTAGTCCCGAGAACGTTACTCCCCCTCTTCTTCTCATCATCATCATCATCATCACCATCACCATCATCACCATCATCACCATCACTGATACAAGTCTTATTCGCTACACATCTTCTCGCATAAGCTATTACCTAAGCTATCAGTCAATATCAGTATCGCTGCCAGATAGAATCTCCAGCAAAAGACAATTGTAAGTTGTCGATTTCGAGTAGTCAGTGCACCGCCCCTGACGGCCTCGATCCCCAGTTCGTGAGGCTAGGTACACCGAGTGACCATCCATGACTCACCCGCAAAGACCCAGCAGAGAGGCTCACGGCTCTTCGTTCTCTACCGACACAGCCCCTTCAGAGATTTCCTTCTCCCACCTTGAACCTTAGAAGTCTCCCTACAGCGGACACCTCTCGACCCCGATCCAGGCCCTGTCACTTATGAATCCTCGTTTAGCGGGCCGGCGCATCACGTGAGCGGCTACCGCCCAATCAGGGCGAGAGGTTTCTAAGCGTCAAGCCTCTTTCTCTCCACCACCTCAAAACTCCGTGAGAAACTAATTTTCGTTCCCCACCGCACCTGCACCCCACCTCCCCCCTCTGGTCAACAGTCTGCAATTGGGTACCTCCCACCTACCACAGTTGCGATCCAGGGTATAAAGCAGTGCAGGAACTGTTCTGAAAGGAACAAAGGAAGGTACGCACCTCACAGGCTTTTCCTTTTTTTTTTTCTTCTTCAGACGAAAGGAAAGGAAACGGAGAGAAAAAATTGGAACAAAGAGCTCACCACCAGCAGTAGGAAACCGCCATCACGATGCTCTCCCGCCTCCGTCTGAGACCCTCGAGTCTCCCCTCGGCCCTCACAAAGCGCAATGGCCCGCTCAAGTCTGCCCTGTAAGCCCTCTCCACCCCCGCCCCGCCCGCACAACCCACCCACTGACAGAACCCCCGCACCAGGCGCCCCCTCTCCGCCACCGCCATCCCTCGCAGCTCCGACTCGTCCCTCAACCGCACCTCCGCGACCATCACACAGCCAAAGTCGCAGGGCGCCTCGCAGGCCATGCTCTACGCCACCGGCCTGACAGAGACCGACATGTCCAAGGCGCAAGTCGGGATCTCGTCCGTCTGGTACTCGGGCAACCCCTGCAACATGCACCTCCTGGACCTCAACAACCGCGTGCGTGACGGCGTGCGCGCCGCCGGCCTCGTCGGCTACCAGTTCAACACCGTCGGCGTCAGCGACGGCATCAGCATGGGCACCAGCGGCATGCGCTACTCGCTGCAGTCGCGCGACCTCATCGCCGACTCCATCGAGACCGTCATGGGCGGGCAGTGGTACGACGCCAACATCTCCATCCCCGGCTGCGACAAGAACATGCCCGGCGTGATCATGGCCATGGGCCGTGTCAACCGCCCGTCGCTCATGGTCTACGGCGGCACCATCCAGCCCGGAAGGTCAAAGTGCATGGGCAACGCCGAGATCGACATCGTCAACGCCTTCCAGTCGTACGGCCAGTTCATCACCGGCGAGATCAACGAGGAGACCCGCTTCGACATCATCCGCCACGCGTGCCCCGGGTCCGGCGCATGCGGCGGCATGTACACCGCCAACACCATGGCCACGGCCATCGAGTCCATGGGCATGACGCTCCCGGGTTCCTCCTCCAACCCCGCCGAGTCGCCCGCAAAGGCGCAGGAGTGCCTCGAGGCCGGCCTCGCCATCAAGAACCTGCTCGAGAAGGACATCAAGCCGCGCGACATCCTCACCCGCGCCGCCTTCGAGAACGCCATGGTGGTCGTCAACATCACCGGCGGGTCCACTAACGCCGTCCTGCACCTCATCGCCATCGCCCACTCCGTCGACGTCAAGCTCACAATCGACGACTTCCAGTCCGTGTCGGACCGCATCCCCCTCCTCGCCGACCTCAAGCCCTCGGGCAAGTACGTCATGGCCGACATCCACACCATCGGCGGCACCCCCGCCCTGCTCAAATACCTGCTTTCGCAGGGCCTCATCGACGGCTCCATCATGACCGTCACCGGCCAGACCATGGCCGAGAACCTCGCAAAGGTCCCCGGCTTCCCCGCCGACCAAAAGATCATCCGCCCGCTCTCCAACCCCATCAAGCCCACGGGCCACATCCAGATCCTCCGCGGCTCCCTCGCCCCCGGCGGCTCCGTCGGCAAGATCACCGGCAAGGAGGGCCTCCGCTTCGAAGGCAAGGCAAAGGTCTACGACTGCGAAGACGACTTCATCACAGCGCTCGAGCAGGGCGCCATCAAGAAGGGCGAGAAGACCGTCGTCGTGATCCGCTACGAGGGCCCCAAGGGCGCGCCAGGGATGGTGGAGATGCTGAAGCCCTCGTCGGCCATCATGGGCGCTGGTCTGGGCCAGGACGTGGCGCTCATCACCGACGGCCGCTTCTCGGGCGGGTCGCACGGGTTCCTGATTGGCCATATTGTGCCGGAGGCGCAGGAGGGCGGGCCGATTGGGCTGGTGAGGGATGGCGACACGATTGTCATTGATGCGGTCGACAGGAAGCTGGATCTGTTGGTGGGTGAGGAGGTGCTGGTCGAGAGGAGGAAGGAGTTTGTGCCGAAGCCGTTGAAGTATACGAAGGGGACTTTGTACAAGTATACTAAGTAAGACCTCCCCCCCCCCCCCCCCTTCCACCTTCTATCCCTGCTTTAGTATTTCTAGTAGCAGGAGGACTGACAGTTGTGTAGACAAGTCTCGGACGCCAGCCACGGATGCATCACAGACGCTTAGAGCGGTGGTTCAGTTTGTAGTTAGATCGGTAGATGACTATCAATGATAGTTCTGCATGTCCTGCCATCCCATCCCAACCAGCTAGGGCTAGGGGCGGGGGTGTTTCTCTGTTTCCTTTGTCGTCGTCGTCGTTCACAAAAGCAGTTTTTGGGAGTATGTACCATATTTTGTACGGGGAATAAAATAAATATATAAAAAAGAGTAAATACAATACAAAGCATCTATCTATCCGGCCAGTCAGTACTACATGTAGTATTTCTTGTGTAAAGAGCCCTAACCTTCACACAGTTACACACTCAATATCAGCAAAGCTTCCTCTACCACTTGTCAAGACAACACCAGTATAATCAACTTTTTGTTTCCAACCTAGTTACTATGCAATAACGAAAATCGACAGACAGCCAAATATAGCAGCAGCAGCATACGCAAAACGTAGTTAAAAAAAAAAAAGTGACCATAAAAAACACCCCCCCCCCCCCCCCGGCCCCAAATGTTCCCTACGCCCTTTAATTCCAATATAAATTCCTGAATCTGCTGTGCTAGCTGAGGCCCCCACATCCAACCCCCCGCGGGCCTCTTCCTCCTCCCAACCTTCCGCAAAAACAAGGATATATCGCAAAGAAACATAAAATAAAAAACGAGAGTTTGACTGACAAGAAGGAGCCAATGGGACGGACATGGAGAACAATATCGTTGGCAGCTAGTAGGAAAAACAAGAAGGAAAAAGAAGGAAAAGAACCACCCGTATGAAACCGCCCCCCTTCCGCTATGCAAACTTCAGATCCCCAAACAACGACGCCCTCACCTGCACGAGCGCCGCCAACTCCAGCACAAACTCCTACACCACCCACGTATTAGCCCCGCACCAACCACCAACCCACACATCACAGAAAGGGGAAAGAAATACCTGAAGAATCATAATATTAGTCAACAAATGGCTCAGCGTAAAATCCGCCGCCCCCTCCTCAAACGGCGCGGTCCCCGCATCACTCCACACACTCCCCTCCCTACTCTCGCCCTCCGGCGGCGGCGGCAGATGCAGCCCCGCCTGCCCCGGCTGCAGCACCTTAATCCGCCGCATCGTCGTGTCCGTCACGTGCGAGTTAAACGGGCTGCTGGGGCTCCCGCCCGTTATGACTGCCGCGGCGGGCGACAGCGCGCGTACCTGCGAGGGCGTGATTG